AGCATAGCAGCAGACAGGGCGCCCCAATGCGCTTGTATACCACATGTGGTTTGGGGGCAGGTGTGTAACGATGGTGGAGGTGAGGGATGAGCAAGGGGCCCGGGGGGCAGCAAGGCAGGGGAGAGGACCGCGGCGCCGGGCGCGCCTGGCAAGGTCAGAGCGCAGCCAGTGGGGGAGCCAGGCAGCCAGCGCTGGCGCTCACCTGAGAAGGGCAGGCCCGCGATGTTGATGGCCAGCAGCATGGGCACAGACACCTTGAGGTGCTCCCAGGTGGCTGCAGGGCAGGCAGGCGTGCACGAGCTGGGTAGTGATGGCGGCGGTGGTCTGTGTACTCACTGCCTGCTTCCTGCCCAGCCCTGCCCAGCCCTGCCCTGCCCTGCCCTGCCCCTGCCTCCGCTGCCCCCCCGACCCACCCTCGTTGTCTCCCGTCCAGATGGCGCCGATGCGCTGCGTGCCGGCGAAGAAAGCGCGGGACAGCACAAAGGGGCGGTCGCCGTCGGGGCCCCACTCCTCAAACCCGCGCTTCCTGCGCAGAAGAAGAAATAGGAGAAGCAGCAGTGAGTGCACCGGACAGAGCAGGCATGTGACGAGGCAGCCATCAGGGAAGCGCCCCGGCCAGGCGCGGCGCCAGGGCAGGCAGACACGGTTGCCACGTTTCCACCAGGCACTTCCCACCCACCCACCCACCCACCCACGCACACCACGCCCCACCAGGCCCACCTCAGCCCGTCTGCGGTGGCCATGTGGTAGAAGTAGCCGTACACGTTGTGCACGTCGCGGTGCTCCGCGGTACCGTTGAGGTGCAGGTTGTCCTTGTGCATGGTGATCTGCAGGGAGGCGAGCGAGGCGGGGGCGGGTGGGGGGGGCGCGCGAGGCGGGGAGGCGCACCAGATCGGCGGCAGCGGTGTGGTGTCCCAGCGGCAGATACGTCTCCCCCAGATACCGCGCTCCCCAACCCACGCCAGCTGTATGCCCCTTTGTACAAGCCACCCAGCCGCCCGGCCGCCCGGCTGCGCCCACCTCTGGCCCGTTGAACACGCTGGGCTCGTTCATGTCGTTCCAGATGTACAGGTGCTTGGTACTGCCGCTGTACACGCTGGTGGAGAACTGGTGGGACCACCAGTCCCGCACCTCGCCGTTCACCATGTCCAGGTAGGAGGAGGATCCCGGCCAGCACCAGCTGCAGGAAAGAAAGAAGGGCACCAGGGAGGGAGGGGGCGGCCGGAGGGGTGGGCGAGCGTGCCTGGCGGTGCAGTGGGGTTGGCGCCTGCAGCGGTGCACCGTGATGGCACCACCTCCTCCTCCACAAATGCCACCCATGCCCGTCTCCCATCCCCCCGGTACCCCC